AAGCAACTTCAAGGTCGGTAAACATTTTCTATTAGTGGACTTTACTGAAATGGCGGATCGCGGTGTCTCCAGGGGTTGTGCGCTGGGACGGGGACAGTGTGTCGGCTGCCGGGGTGCCGTCAGACTGGAGATTGAGGGGGGCCGGCTCGATCTCAATGCGACCATTCGCGGGACGACGGGCGCGTCTCTGCCGAGGTTGGAATATACCGCTGCTACCTCACTCGACGCGATATCTGCAAATGGCACCGGTCGCTATCAATCCCGTTGACCATACTTGGTTTGGCTCGGTGCTCCTGCTTGTAAAATGCATACATTCAGTATGAATAAGCGAAGAGACGAGTGGTTTTCGGAAGATCCTTTATGGCCGACCCTTCGAGAAAAATCGCCCGACTCTCTCAAGAGACGGGAGAAACGAAAAGGTCGATCTGGGGCTTGAACTTAGGTTGCCGTAAGAATGACAGGAAGTCAAAATCCGGAGTGCTACCACTACACCAATCAACCGCACGACTCCCTGAACGATTTGGCTCAAGCTGCGGCTGTATTGCCTAACTGGTCCGCCGTGTTAATACTCTAGTCAATCCGACGGATAGACGGATGCAACGCCTAGAACACCCTCCGGGAGGAAAAGGGTCGATCTGGGATTTGAACCCAGGTAGCCGCGATAGTATTTATGACCGAGAAATCGGAATCCGGGTGTAATAACCAACTACACCGATCAACCCAGAAGGACCCTAGCGCAATCTCGATCGACGTGTGCCAAGCGTTTGTTCTACCACCACCTTTTGAGCAAACACCGGGAGGTTCCACAAAAGTCCATTGTTGTCTAAACGCCCTCCGACTGTCTTTGTCTCAAGACGAGTTACGGCCGGGTTGCTTCGTTGGTTCAGATGTCTCAAATCCCGGCCAAGCCGGCGATGCAAGGGAGTCGAGGGACGCAAAAAGGTCGATCTGGGATTCGAACCCAGGTTACCGGAATAATGACCGGAATAACATCAGAATCCGGAGTGATAACCACTACACTAATCAACCGGACGACCTCACACGCTCCCTAAACAGCACCACGTCAGCTCACGTGGCAATAACCTCTTTTCCATCTAACGATAATA